AAAGGGGATGCAGCTGTGTCTGACGTTCATCTTCCCGAACTTCTTAGCTTTGGGTGACAAAAAACACTCATTTCCCTCGGGGCTTTCTTGAGTTGGCTCCTGTAACTTGCAGACAATGAGCAGAGACTCTATCTCTAGATCTCCTGTCCCCTTTCTCCTTTCCAACACCTGCATCTTGGGCCTGATTCTGCCTGGTCCCCAAAGTAGAGAGGGTGAGACCCGTTTTTTTTATTCCAAATCGATGGACTCAGATACCGTTTTGATTTTACCCAGGCCTGAGCTCATCAGGATGCACCCAGGGCTAGCTCAGAATGTCATGGGGGGGGGGAGAAGGGGGAGGAATAAAAAAGGAAAACTCTGCATTCCCATATTCAAATGAGCTCCTGCAGGAGGAGAGAGCAAATAGCAGTTTCTCTGAAGAGGCGGCATGGCGCTGGACCCAGACCCTGATGAGGGCCTTGGCTGTCACTAGCAGGACAGCTGGCCCTCAGCGGCCCCTGCACCCTCATTATTTCTCATTAGAGAGCCTTGTCCTGAACAGCAGGAGCACAGCTCTGTGGCCAGTGACACTGGGCTCGCCCTTGGCTCAAGGGAGAAAGGTCTTTTCTAGCACAGCAAGAGAGGCTGGGGGCAGAGCTCTCAGGCCAGTGACCAGCTGGCTTTGTACCCCAGACCCTAATTGGCAGTTCACCCTGCTCTGGAAAGCCCACTCGAGGCAGAGCCCTGGCACGCCACCTGCTCCATGTCCTTCGCACCAACAGTGCCTTCTGAAGTTGCTCTGTAGGTCTTGGGGGCTTATCTTCCACCTGAGGCTTCTGTGTGCCCCGCTATTGTCCTAGGAGAGCTGTACCTGTGCATTCACGGAGGCCAAAAGGGAGGGGGCATGTGGTGCGCAAGAGAGCTCCCCTCCTGCTGGTCAGAGCCGCTTACCCTGGAGCTTCATGTTGGATGGGTCCTGAGCCAAGTGCTCAAAATTCTTGTGAGGGAGGACCTTTCTCTGTCCTCAGTGAGGACTCTAACCCTGCAGAGCCTGGAGCTTCCAAAGGGCCACTGTCACGGTAGATCACTGAAAAGGATGCCAAGAGGGCCACTCTTGTCATCATTCCTGGCTCCTCAATGCCTGTGTTTCTTGTTGGAGATGTGGTGCTACCAAAGGCCTCCGATTCATAATCCACATCCTGTAGGACAGCACTCTGCTCAGCTTATTGTCCCCCCACACAGCTGTGTCCCTGTGGGAGCTCAGCTCCTGCTGTGCTGAGCCCTACAAGGCCAATTGCTCCAGATTTCCTGGTCATGGGCCACTACCAGGCCTTCTTTGCTGGGAAGTGGGCCCCCTGGCCAGCTGTCACGCCTGTGGATCAGGCCCTCATGAGACTCTGCATTGGCTACAGTCCCAACCTGGACTGGGTACACAAGGGGGATCCTGAGAGGACCAGGACAGTAGGGACCAATGTGTTCCCCTTGAATACAGAGCCTTTGGCAGCTTGAGCTGGACTGTGGCTATTGGTCAGACTTTCAGAGGTAGCCAGAGCAGTGGACTCCCTTGTGGCAGTCTGTACACCTGAGTCCACATGCAGCCTTGGTGTGGCCACTGTGTGAGTCAACATCACCCCTTGGTGGCAGGTACATTCTAGATAGTGTTTGCATGTGCTGCAAGCCGTCATGGTGTCACCCCCAATCACATGCCAGGCCCATCCAGGGGCTCAGCGCTCCCGATTTCCATCTCCAGGCCTTTCCCTCTCAGAGCCCTGACCAAGCTGCCAGGACAGTGGTCACTGTTCCTGAACTTGTGGCTAGTCTTACCTGGCCGTGTCCCTTTTTCTGCACGAAGTGCACACTCTACAGCCACTCTTTGGGACCGAGACCTCCAGGGCAGAGTGTCATACAGAGACGTGTGCACGCACATTCGTTGCCTAGACTGAGTGAGGGCTCAGCTAAGGCCCTGTGTGTGGACTCTGGCTCTAACGGTGCGCTCACTGGCGCCTCAGGCCTCTACCTGGGGGCTGGGCCAGGCACGAGGTAGTTGAGACACTGGCTTCCAGGATCCTAGGCAGTTGCCTGGCAAGGACAGCCTGCCCACTGTTAGTGTGTCTAGGGACTAACAAGTTCAGGTGCGTAAATGCTGGCAAGGCATTTGGACAATAGGGGGTGCCCAGTAGCAGCGGCCACTGTCATCAGACCTTGAGGCATCCCATTCCTGTTGGCCTCTGCTCACAGAGCAAGAGCTCCAGGCTCCAAGAAATGTACTCTGATACCACATAGCAGGACTCCCAGTGCCAGGATCTGAGTTGGAGCCACCCCAACCCTAGCTAAGTACCCTTAGAAGAAGGGATTGTCATTTTCTCAGGTGATACACAGCACATGAGTGCACCGTCTGCCCTTGATGCGTGATGGACCTTCTGTTCTCACCACTGCTGAAGGCCGTGATTCCCCAGGACAATGTGCAGCCACGGCAGATGAGCTATCCCTGCCCAGCTGCTGGGGCAGAGACCCCGGGGAAGTGCCCTCTGCCCAGGTGGCCTGCCCCCAGCTTGCTGTAGGGATGGGTAGCAGACAAAGAGGTACTTGGAGGTCTGGACATTTGTGCATGAAACAGGAGAGGAGAGGGACTGGGGAGATGGTTCAGTGGAATAAGCACTTGCCTGGCAAGTGCAAGGGTCTGAGTTCAATCCCTGGTTCCACAAAAAAAAAAAAAAAAAGAAACAGGAGAGGAGAAATGCCAGCTGGAAACCACCCCCCAGCCCCAAGGCCTTTGTTCTGCTTGGGGTGTCAAACTTCTGGGTTTTGTTAGCATGCAGTGAGTTTCCACAGTAATGACAATCACTAGGACAGGTGTGGCTGGGCCCATGGACTTCACAGGCTGTTTACTTTGCTCCTTGGCTCCAGACAGACGGTGCTTCCCAGCACCAAGGTGGGGACACTGAGACCCCAGCTGGTGAGTGGGAACCAGAGTCCCCTCCTTAGCCCCCGGCCACCCCAGGGGCACACAGCATGTCGGGGTGGCTGGAGGAGAGGGCCTGGTGGAAACCACTCCCTAGGGATGGAGATGGTGAGCCTGCCCCCACCAGGCCAAAGGAAGCCTTGCACAGCCATGCTAAGGGGTACATCAGCCCCGCCTGCCACTGCAGGGAATGCCCCACCTAGCCACTAGGTATGTGCCTGGTCCCAGTACTGCCCCTGCTAAGGGCAGTGGGGTGAGGTGGGGCAGAGGAACTTGGGAGCTTGTAAGAGGAGAAGGGAGAGGGCTTCCGGGAAGAGGGTGAGGCAGAATCAGGCCCTCCTTCAGAGCAGGCTCCTGGAGGCTGTGCACAGCGGGTGGGCCGGGGCCAGCATCTGGGGGCCTCATCTGCCCCAAGCCCCAAGAGCAGAGAGCAGCGAGGCTCCCTGACCCTTGCCCCAAAGTTTCCGAGCATCGCTAGGGCTGGAGCCAGGGGCAGATCCCCACAGGATGAAGAAGCTGCTGTTAGCACGGAGCGGAGCGCAGGAGTGCAGCGCTTGGGGTCCTACCGAGGCGCCTCCCCAGCGGCCTAGCCCCACCCCCACCCCGGCTCGTTTCTGTCCTCTTGGAAGCATCCACCGGTGTGTGCCGCCGGCAACCAAGCGGAGTCGCTGCCTCCCTCTCCCTCGGGCACTGTTCCCTGGCTGCTGTCTGCTGTCTGCCTGTTTTCGGGTCCCAGCCTGTCGCTGGCTGGCTGCTTCCCTGGCTGTAGGTTTACATGTCTGCGCGCGAGCTTGTCTGTCTGTCTGCACTGTGCTTCACCAAATAACTTCGTCCTTGACCCCGAGTACCCAAGCACGTGCGGCGAGGGCGGGGGCGCTCCCTCCCTTCGGCCTCTTCCTCCGCCCCCTCCCGCGCCGGCGCTAACGCAGCTGCTGCCGCCCCGGCTGCGCCCCTGGCGCGGTGACCTCGCCTGTCCGCTGCAGCAATGACCGGCCCACCGCGCGGTCTAACCGCGGAATCCATGGCCCCTCTCCAAAATGCTTGCCGCTCCTCCCTCCACCTGGAGCCGCTGAGTCCTGGGTGGGCATGCTCGGATACCGGCTGGGTCTGCTTAGCCTCGCCTTCCCTTATGTAACTCCACATCTGTGTGCACCTTGCAGGTCACGCTGGACCCTGTTCTAGGCCTTGCCCACGGTAAGACCGAGACTCAGGGTCCCGTGCAGAGGGGGCCGAGCCCCTGGTTAGGGCACCTCTCTCGGAGACCCCTTTGTACCCCTTCTCAGAAGGTTCCTTCCCCCGAGAAACCCACTTCTCCGAAGCAAGGAGTGAGGCGGAGCCCCGCAGGCTAGCCCTCCAGCGGAGCGCAGGGGTTGCTCCCACCCTCAACCCCGGTTCCCCACAGGCGCCCCGGCTTCCGACGAGGGCCGGGTAGGGGTCACCAGGGCCAAGGCATTGAGAAGGCCGAGCAAGCCAGATGCGCGTCTCCAGAAGCGACTGCAGGTCATCCCCCAGTCCCATGGCCCGGCCGTGCTAGAACCGGGCTCGCCGCCAGCCGCGTGCGCACCCGGGTTGGGGCTCCAGCCGGGCAGGCGGGCACGCGGCGCTG